GCGATTCCGGTTCATCATATACCTTCAACGCGCGCCCGCATTGGCGATTCCGGTTGACCATATCTCTTAAACACACCCCCTCATTTGGCGATTCCGGTTCATCATATTATCTTAAACACGCCCCCTTATTCGGCGATTCCGGTTCATCATATATCTTCAACACGCCCCCTCATTGGCGATTCCGGTTTATCATATATAATAAACACACCCCCTCGTTTGGCGATTCCGGTTCATCATATATCTTAAACACGCCCCCTTATTTGGCGATTCCGGTTCATCATATATCTTCAACGCGCCCCCTCATTGGCGATTCCGGTTGACCATATCTCTTAAACACACCCCATTATTTGGCGATTCCGGTTCATCATATATCTCAAACACGCCCACTAATTTGGCGATTCCGGTTCATCATATATCTTCAACACGCCCCCTCATTGGCGATTCCGGTATCATAAACACACCCCCTCATTTGGCGATTCCGGCTCATCATATATCTTAAACACGCCCCCTTATTTGGCGATTCCGGTTCATCATATATCTTGAACACGCCGCGTCATTTGGCGATTCCGGATTCATCATATGACAGAACACGCCCCCTTATTTGGCGATTCCGACCATAAATCTACAACACGCCCCCCCCCCCCTCCATCCCCCTCCCCTCATTTGGCTATTCCGGCTCATATGTAACTTAAACACGCCGCCTCGTTTGTCGATTCCGGATCCATCATATAACTATAACTTAAACACGCCCCCTCATTTGGCGACACGCCCCTTGTTTGGCGATTCCATGGCGACTTCGGTTCCTTATGTCTCTTACACCCCTCCTCGTGTGGCGATTCCCGCTCATCCTATATCTTACACAAGCCTCCATTTGCAAACAGAATGCTCGCATGATAGGATCCCAAAAGACTCACACGCTTTGAAGCAAGCTCGCACGGCTTAAAACAGCGGGGGGTTTGGGGGGGGGGGCGGGGGCTGCCCCCCACCCCCCCTTGCAAACACAGTGCTCGCATGATGGGTTTCAAAGAGAGACTACTTTGAAGCAAGCTTGCACTTCTCAAAAGCGCGGTTGGGGGCGGGGGGGCTTCCCCCATTTGCAAACGGAATGCTCGCATGATGGGATCCAAAAACACTGGCATGCTTTGAAGCAAGCTTGCGCGGCTGAACAAAAGCAAGGGGCAAACAGAACGCTTGCATGATGGGTTTCACAAAGACTCATATGCTTTGAAGCAAGCTCGCACGGCTCCAAAAGCAGTGGGGTTCAGGGGCCCCCGAGTTGCAAGCAGCATGTTTGCACGGTGGGTTTCACAGAGACTGCTTTGAAGCAAGCTTGCACGGCTCAAAACGAAGGGGGTTATGGGGGCCAGTTGCAAATACAGTGCTCCATGATGGGTTTCAAAAAGACTCATATGCGTTGAAGCAAGCTTGAACCGCTTGCCCTCCCAACTCTTTCTCGATTAATTTCGCTCTTTCTTTTGTTTCTAATTTGATGTGGTTATTTCTTTCTTTCTGTCTGTCTCTCTTCCTTTATTTCTTCCTTTGGTTATTTCGTTTGTTCCTTTCGTTCCTTCTGTCCCTACCTTCACTTCTCATGAAAATAAAGATAACACATACTTCTTCAACTTCTTCCTATATCCTACTAAAGCGAAGAGAAAATTCGAGGAAAATAAAGGCTTTCCTATGCAAGTACAGAGAACCCCCCCTCACGACCACCAAAAAACACAACAAACACAACACAAAGTGCTAGAAACAACAATGGGGTCCCCTCGAAGGATTGGCAATCCATCTCGGGGACGACGGATTCAAAGGGCGACATGCTGCGTATTCCGCCCTGCCGGCCTAGCCTTGTCCGTCTTGTCCATCTTAGCAGTCTTGTCAACTTGCTTCCGGCCGCTTGAACGCAGCAGCTTGGATCGAAGGTCGGCCGCAGGCAGCCAAAACCTCTGCGAGCTGCAAGGCTTGTCATTAGACCCGTACCCATCTGCTTTGGGAAGGTCCCCACTCCATAGTACATTACAGGCTGGTTTCGTCTAGGATTTCCAGTAAGGAAAATTACAGTATGCAAATGGGGCCTGCCGCGCTCGGATTATTCATGCTGGTCTGATTGTGCACCGCAAATAAAACGCTGCCGTCTCTCTCTTCTTCAGCACAGTCAAGCGAGTGCAGGCGGCCCGACACTCCCCGACGTCGCCATGCTCTGGTCTTCGAAGGTCTATTTGCCCTGCTCTTCGCGGTCTCTCCCGTCCTTCCTTCCTCCCGCAAATTTCAAGTGCAAACAAACTGCACAGTCGGCGCACAGGCGCGATCAAAGGCTTCTTGAGAAACGGCGATGCCCTCCTTCCTCAACCCATAAACCGCTCCCCCGACAAACTAACCCTCATTCCATCCCTTCCGATAAAGAGGCTGGCAGTCCCACCCTCACATGTGTGCACCGCGGCCCGCAGGTCGTTGTCGCGTCTGCATAGCATTTTGCGCTGTCCATGTCGGCGCTCAAGCGAAATGCCTTCAACCCCACGTTGGATTTTCCCAGCACTAAGCCCCTGTTCCTGTACCCGCATCAAGAGTGAGCCCAAGCCACAACCAAACACTGGGAAACTCAGGTGGAAGCCTAACATGCCGGAGTCCGTGGGTAAGCAAAACTCAACAAACACGGGGCATGCAGGGCCACTACGTGCAATCGTTGAAATACCAAGTCATTGATTGTAATTATTTGTAATTAACCTATCAGCAGGGGCACCCTACGGCCGTGAAAGGAGGGCTGACATACTGTGCATGACACGCAACAAACTTCAGCTGGATGTGGAGTCAACTGAAAATCTTGCGGCTTAGCCTCGTGCAAAATGGTGCAAAAACAGACTTGACTCAACACCTGAGATGCAGGCTCGCCATCGTAGCCGCAGTACTTTACCTATCCATGCTGCAACTTGGGCATGCCAAGACTCATTCAACTATCCTTGAATAGTGCCCGTGGCATCGCTTGACTGCAGTTCTGTCCTTCACTGGCGCTTTTCGGCGCTTCGTGGAGATGTGAAGCACTTCTGCCAAGTAGTACCTCGAGCTACTCTACGCAACACGAAGATCCACGAAGTGCCCCCGATCCAAAGGCATGCTGAGGCAAGCTGGGTTGCCTTGCTGAGGCTTGGGCTTCCCGTCTTCCGCCTTTGCTTGGAGCTGCACTCCAACTGACAGATTCTCCATGTTCACCTTCGAATGTTGGGTCAAATTAGTTCGATCTTGCTGTGAATATCTGTGAACTACCGGCTTTCTTGGTTTCTCTCGGCAGATCTTGACAGCCAGGGTCGAGCATTCGCAGGAATTGCCCTTTCGCCTGCCACATCCCCTCCTTGTGTCTTCTGCTGCAGGTGCTTGTTAAAGGGAGGAGTTTTATGTTTGTTTTTGTTGGGGGGATCATTTTTTTGGCCGGTTGTTCTCGCGTTCTTGCCGTTGCCACCTCCCCATATCCCAGTATTTACAGATGTTTACAGCAAACAGTGCAGACGCGTCTTATTACTTACACAGGATGCTTGCTGCGCAAGTCTCCCGATGTGGTGCGGTGCATACTTTTCGTCACTGACAAAGGGTTCTACGTGCTAGAGGCGTGACTCATTTACATGTCGCAAAAACTGGCGATTCCGGGTCATGATATATCTTAAACAGGCCCCCTCATGTGGCGATTCCGGTTCATCATGCTACACATATTTACAGCACACCCCTTATTTGGCGATTCCGGCTCATCATATATCTTAAACACGCCGCCGCATTTGGCGATTCCGGATTCGTCATATATCTTCAACACGCCCCCTCATTTGGCGATTCCGGCATCGCTTGGCACTCTGGGAGTCAAAAGTAAGTTACAGGTGTGAGAAGTTTCAAAGCCGGGTCCCCCTGTGTTCGGAAAAAGTGCAAACAGCCCCACAACCTTGAAACGAAGCCCAGAACTTCTCGAGCAACCTGAACAGAAACAGAATTTAGGGAGCCCCCTCTTCGTTGCAGAAACAGCAGGAAAGCATCGTTAGGTTTGGTTTAGGTGCAGCACCAGGACACATCAAGCATCAATGGGCAAGTACCGAAGTAGGGGACTGCAGAGGGGAGTCAACCAAGCCTCATAATTCCCCCGCTCACTTGAGTTACCGCCGCGGCTCCGAAGTGCTCATGTATGTGCGCGGCCAACATTCGACGCCGGCGATGCGAGTGATTGAAGGCATCTTCGTCGACAGAAAGAGCCTCTTCCGTCTCTTCGCGACTTTCCACATCCATGGCAGTGTCGGTCATTCTCCCCCATGGATTCCAGCAGGTGTCAGCTCTGGCTACATCCCCCAAACCGTGATGACGGTCCTGAAGCCACCACTTCGCTCCCGTTTCTGTTTTGGAGCCTTTTCAAATTAAGAAGTTTGAGTTAAGAATTTTAAGAAATCCAGGGTATGCTCAAATCCCGAAAGATATATTTCAATAAGGAAGGTGCGCTTCAAAAATAAGACTTCGAGCCCCCACTCACGAAAAAGTAACTGTTTCTTAACCGGCGCTGTCGCTGTATATGAGAGTAGGATTAGAACACACTTTGTCACAGAAGCTCATTCAATACACATGTTCCTGGTCTGCCCCTGCAGCATAGCCTTGTCGGCATCACCGTTCTTCTCGGCTTCCTTCTTCCCACTGGAGGGCAGCAGCTTTGACCGAAGATCACTCTCCGGCAGCCAAAACCTCTGAATGTTGCAGCTTGCCAGGATCAGCTTGGCTCCAACATGCACGGTGTAGGCTGTAGTCAAAGAACCAGCCAACGTCATCTATGATCTGGTTATCACTTTTCCCGTTTCGCAGTGCTTTGCATCAAGCATGAGCCCTGGACGAAACGAAACATAGGAAACCTTCGTATCACGTGATCACGTCCATATCCTGGAAACTTCAAAAGACACGGGGGCATGAGGGCCACAACCTGCAATCGTTGAAAATCAAGTGACATATATTCAGCCTGTGCGCAGGGGCACTCTGCAGCCCTACAGCTGGCCATGTAATCACAGCTGACACGCTGCTTCAGCTGGATGTGGAGTCAACTGAAAATCTTGCGGCTTAGCCTCGTGCAAAATGGTGCAAACACAGACTTGACTCAACACCTGAGATGCAGGCTCGCCATCGTAGCCGCAGTACTTTACCTATCCATGCTGCAACTTGGGCATGCCAAGACTCATTCAACTATCCTTGAATAGTGCCCGTGGCATCGCTTGACTGCAGTTCTGTCCTTCACTGGCGCTTTTCGGCGCTTCGCGGAGACTTGAAGCACTTCTGCCAAGTAGTACCTCGAGCTACTCTATGCACGAAGATTCACGAAGTGCCCCCGTTCTAAAGGCATGCTGAGGCAAGCTAGGTTGCCTTGCTGAGGCTTGGGCTTCCCGTCTTCCGCCTTTGCTTGGAGCTGCACTCCAACTGACAGATTCTCCATGTGACTCCTGGCATGGGATCGCGTGCAAACTCTACCGCTCGGCCGTCTCCTCGGATTGGAACATTGGTTCAACCAACTACTGCATACTACTGCCTCGACTGCACTACAGGCATCTTGTGGCAAGCAGGATGAAATCAGCGGAACGCGAGCCACCGCAACAACGTTCGGAAACAGCCAACCAGAAGCGTCTACCTGAAGGGCATGTGGCTATCCCAAAGCTATTTAAAACTGTTGAGCCGTTCAGGACCTGCCAGTTCTATGGAATCTATATTCTACACGATACTACACCTTCCGCGGTTAGAAGTGATGTAAGATGATCTGAGCACGATTGAAAATGATGCCAGGTCGGCACAAGCGGCAGTCGGAGGCTAGCCCTGCTGATGCTGTCGCAAAAACAACGGGGTGCTTTGTGGGCTTTCTTTTGTGTCTCCGTCACCTGAGCCTACGATGCATGCATTGCAAAGGAGCTGTGACGGCGCTGGGTCACATGCAAGCCGTGGCGCCCCAAAAGCATTATCTAACTTGCTGCGTTTGAGCGCTATCGGCGGCGGACGGCAGGATATGGCAGGCAATCAGAAGAGGCAATAGCAAAGACATGTCAACTGGCCGGACCCATGTGCGCACGGGGGCAAGTTGAATGTATCCTCATGGTTATTATTTGCCGGACATAAGCTGATATAAACTACACATGATCCCGGCCAGCAACAACTCGAGGAATACAGCAATGCATCCGGGAGCACACTCTACCCGCATGCAAACAGTCGCAAAAAACTTGCCACTACATAAACCACTCATCTTCTGAAGCGCACGTGCCGATCGCTCGATCCACGAGGCCGACACTTGGATTTCCGATTTCGACATTCCCCGACTGCATGGCTTTGCCATCCAGCCATGTTCAAGCTCTCGACTACTCAAGCTGTCGCTGTGCCTGTGCGTTCGAAGCCTTTGCATTGTCTTGCCTGACCAGAACACACAGAAGAAACACAAATCTCTGCGAAAATGCCCGAACGACTGACAGACGTTGACATGCCTCGTTTGATTTCTCATGTGTCCACCGGTCTTCTTACGCACCGCAGCTTGCTGCAATAATGTACAAGCGTGGCGAATGTCTGCGTTCCGAATTCTGTGACTGCCGCAGGGCTCAGAACAACCAATGCGGTGCCCACCGCGGATGTATGAAATATCAACATCAGCACACAAACACCGATCTGCTTTGATTGCCTTGCCAGCCACATGCATCTGCACACTCTCGAGCTCACCCCCCACGTGCCCGTCGAACGCAGTGTCAGTCGACCTGCGCAGCGGACCAGCACAAAGCAAGAAGCATGAGACATCCTGGAAACAGACAGTCTGAAAATATCTGCAGCTGAAATCTGCAGCAGCTCCAGTCTACGACAAGATGCGACTACGACAATAAACAGAAGGACAACTCTGGTCAACTGGAAACTATGGACACTGAAAGCAATCCTGGCCGCTGTCTGAAAACACATCCTCTGCCAAACACCAACTTTCGCAGCAAACATGCATATGCAAGTGCAGTGTGGGTGCACTGAGCTCGGTAACTATTGTAAGTTACTATTAATTTCGTAAATAGTGTTCCATCCGCTTCCGGCAGGCTTCAGGCGTCCCCGCATTGCGCCTTGTTGGCATCCTCCTGGCGGCATCAGGGTCTTGCATGTGGAAATAATTTGGAAGCTGCAACCAACCTTTCCCCGCTCGCCCCAAGACTGTCTGCCTGTCTGACCGCAAAACACAACAAGGCATCAAATGGCTGGCCCCCCTGCTCGCTCCTGCAAGCGCTTGTTGCGGTTATGCAGTCGCTTGCGCTCCCCGTCTTTCTGTCATGCGAGCAGGCGGGAGATCAAGCAGTGGTCTGCTGCATTGAGACCAGCATCCACTCAAGTGTCACAGCACCTATGTCAAATCCGTGGTGCAATCACAGAGGACATGCGCAGATCACAGGCTCTCTCCGGCACGCCACTGGGACGCCGCAATATCTGAGGCGATGTGCTTGAAGTGCATCGAGAAAGACTACTTATCACAGTACTTCGCCTGCCGCAGAACCTTGATGATGTTCTGTGCTTCTTCGATGCCTTGCAATTGTGGCCAAAACATTCTTGGATGTGATCATTTCTTGAAATCTGAATCTGCTTCTCTGCCAACATCCAAGGAACAACAGTTCAGAACAGGCGCTTTCGAACGGATATCTGTGGACGCAACGTACACCGGTTTAAGCGTCCTTCACGGTATTCAAGGACCAAACGCGCTCGGACCTATCGCATCGGTGTGCTGGGTAGCGACCCGATCCTTTCGGCTTCCTGATCCTCGATTCTGCGGCACCTGATGGCACCTGCTTACTGCCTGACGCTGCTCCGGCGCTGCCAAATCGGCTGAAATCTTGACTGGACTGGGGATGCTCGGCGCATTGGGAACATTAGTATGTGTTTGCACACCAGGAAGCCGAGGCCGATAAACATCGACCGAGCTCAAGGTGGCAGTCTCGATTTTTCCAAGAATAGACTTCGATGCAGCTCGGAAGTAAGCCTATAGTGAGACGGCCAGATTTCTGAAATGGGGAAGCTTGTGGGAATCGGAAGTGCTGCAGTTCCTACCGAGGCGGAACACGCTTCTTGACAAGTTGCACGGGTCTTCTTTGTCCATTCCCATACGAATGGCCTGGCGCACACGGCTCTCATGGCTCTCATGTTCATAGCATTTCATAGCAGTTCATACCCAAGGAACCCTCCTCAGACCTCCTTTTGCCATCCTTTGACTGCCCAGCTGCCTCGAAGACTTCTGCTTCGATACGATCTGCGTTCGTGGCTGCCATTCCCAAAGGGGGAACCTCGCAAGCCGAGAGAACAAAGCAGCCCGTCACGACAGAACTTCGAAACCTTCACCATGCATTCATCAGCCCACCACCCTGAACCCCATCCATGACGCCGATCATTCTGATCCGTCATATCCGCCGGTGCTCAGCGCGTCGAGAAAAACTCAACCTCGTGGACCTTCAAGCCTTAGGGTCCTTTGGGCTTCCTTGTGGCATGGAGCCAGCTCAAGTGTTCAACCGAGGGCTACTGAGCAGCAGCATTGGCAGGGAGCTACGGCTATACTCGGTAATCCAAGCTGCCTGATTACGTTCTTTGGCACGCTTTTCGGCAAGATCATCCTTCTCCATGCAATCCTGGCGGCATGCCAACAAAACTTTGCAAGCGTGGGTGCCCCGGTGAATGCGCCTTGGCAAATGCAGAGATACTCACACGAAGCCTCTCTAGCAGAACCTGGGCAACTTGCGGCGTACTGCCGATTGCTGCACGGCAGAAGGTACAATACGTCGGTGCATGTCAGTTTACTCAGCTTTTGACATCTCGAGCCCTGAGTAGCATCGGCTCTTGCGGATCAGCACCGACAGAGACCTCAGCACGAACGAAAAAACAAGCCAAGGCCCCATGCTTGCTGCAGTCTGCTGCAGGGTGCAGCTGCACCACATTATGCTGGAGTTCTACGTCGTCGCACTGACGAAACCATTGTTACTTGGTTCCTGCTGTCGGCATGCAATTTCTGATACTTCGATTGTACTTCAGACCCCCACACACGCATGGGACGAAAGCTGCCCCCATGTTTTCTTGAATTCAGGGATCTGAAACAGTTGGAAGATTCTGGAAGGATGGGAGAAGCGCTGTCAAAAGCCAGTTTTGTCATGATTTTTCACGCGCGTCGCGGGGGCACGCCTAAGAGAAGATCACACCAGCAGCATCAGCATATAGCAGCATAACCAACCCGGCGAGCGAAGCCATTAAAGACAGGAGATCAGTCCCAGTACGTCCCAGTCAGATGCTCGTCACTGCGCATTTAGCAGGTGTCGGGCAGTGTCGGGGTTTGGAATCTTATCGGTTGAGTCCGATGAACTATGTATGCTGCATACATACTGTACTTTGCTGCAAGCTGCCGAGATAGGTGCTATTGCAATGGCGGATGCGAGCCAGCAGCCACCGCCGAACATGTTTGAGCCGAAGCTCGGAGGGGAGGGCTGCCTGGGTGCCAGCTCCGGCTTGGCAGGAGTCGGCGGCCTGCCGGCGGTGCTGTAGTAGAACGTCTGCAAGGGGTGGAGGACGACGACGTAATGGGCATGCTTGCAAGCTGCGTGTCCGCATGAGCCAGCAGTCCGGGCAAAGGGGCAGCATCTGGACAGAGATATGCTTCGTGAGCGCTGTGGTTCCAACGACATTGTATCCGGGAGTGCAAAAATGGCAAAAATGCAGCCGCAAGAGGCACAGCGAACACCCACTGCACTGAAGCTTTGCAACAAGGGCGCGGAGAGGGGCTCCTGCCAACAGGCGGCCAGGCAGTACCGCTACAAGTTCAGCAACAAAATAAAGGTTAAAATAAACGTTGGATGTTTGCCTGCGGGCATATGCACGGATGGGCTAAGCCAGCGACGGCAACTTGCCACGCGGGCAGTTGTGGATCCCAGGCAGGTGGAGAGAGCGACCATCCGGACTCATAGCTCGGAGTCTGGCTAAAGCAGCTGGCGGGCGCAGGAGGACCCAACGCAGCTCTTTGAGGAGTGAATGACCAGGCAGGGATGCCAACCAAATGCGGAGTGAGGAGGCCGCATCCTGCCGAGGCGGGTGCGGGGCGGTTTCGGGGTTACAGGTCGGAGGGATAGCGATGTGGCAGAGTCGCATGCAAACGTTTAGGCGAGCTCGTACGCTTGGCGTAGACGCCTGATGCCCAGAAGGAGGCACTGGGCGAGTTGGATGGCTGGGCATACAGGGGCCCATGATGGCCCATGCTTTGGAAAGTGCTCGTATTTCTTGCTGCAGAGCAAAGGGTTGGCGGAAGATAGCGAAGTGCTCCAGCGCTGGCGAAGGTTCCGTGCTGTTGCATGCTGTTGCCGAGATTTCTGTGCGGTACAGCCCGATGTGCCAAATCCGGCCCACGTTCGCGGCCTGTGCTGGCAACAGTACTATCGTCCACATCAACCTCACGCCCGGGGAGAACCACGGGATGGGCCAGCGGAGGGCGTCTTGTGCCGCGCGCTGAGTGGGGAGGGCGTCAGCCCGAATCTGCTGCCAACGCTTGCATCCGCTTGCGTCGCCCACGTGGCAGCAAGAGCTTCTGCATCTGCGTGGGCGTGGAGGCGCTCGGTCCAGCTGCCGCCGATGGCACGGAGGCAGCAGAGAGGACCAGCGGCAGGGAGTCGGAAGAGAGCAGCCACCGCTCCCAGCGTCCAGAGAAAAGGCGCCGCGTGAAGAGGGTGTATGAACCACGAAAGCCGACCGCATCGCAGCCCTGGTCACTGGTCTTGGACGACATTGCCCTGAACTCAAATTGAATTGACGGTCTAGCGCTGTCATGAGGGAGGCGGAATCGCCTATTCCTTCAGCAACAGAAGTCGGCGGCCAGGTGCAGCCGGCCTCTTTATGAATCTTTATGTTTTCATCGTGCAAGGATAAGCAAATGCTTCAGAAATCTATTGCCGCAGAACATCCCCATGGCCGTCGTGACTGAAACTTTCGACTTTGTCCAACCGTTTTAAACAGGACATGAACTCCCAGGCGTGTCCTATGCTGCAACTGTTCCTGAGGGCTGGGCGGCCAATTCCATCAGCTGCATGATGGGGATGTGACCCGCACCTAGTAACTCATAGGATAGATTCCGACGCGCACCGCATTCTTTCAATCCTGCAGACGCTGCTGTGAACGTGAACGAATTGCCGCACATTGCCGTCTTGCAGAACAGCTAAGTGTTCGGTCACCAGTCGACATGCACTAGAGGAGAACAAAGGAGGCTCTACAGTGCGCTCCATGTCGCTTGCTGTGGCTCTGGCCAGCGATCGCTTCTTGGTAAGCCTTTTCCGCCCACCTGTGATTCCAAAACACGATATCCGAAGCTTCTCTCACCTAAACTGGCACTTGAGGGCAAAGTCTGATGTGTATTAGCCTGACAAGCAAAAAGCGCTAGAGAGTCTAGCGCATTGCTCGGTGCTTGGACTCATAGGTCATTTTCTCGAACTTTTGCTTTCGATTGTATTTTCGGAAGACGCGTGCGCAGTTTGGCCCACATGTTTCAGCTCGAGTTCGACTTCGACTTCGAGGTGGGCGTCGCGGCCCAGTGTTCCGGTCAGAATCTTCGGGAGGGCTTTGTTTGGCTTTGTCAAGCGGCAGGGGGCGGGGTTGCAAGTCGAGGTTGATGCATGCCAAGTGGGGAAGCAAGACGCCTTTAAGGAATGTAGGATAATCCAAGCTTGTCGATGACCCAAGAACGACGACTTTTCCGCAATGATGAGCCAGGGGCGCCGAAACACTTTGGCTCATAACGTTAAAACAACGAAATGATGAGCCGCGGGGGCAACACCTGCTGGCACATTTTGTAGCTTTCAATCCCGGCCTGCAAACTCCAAATGATAAGCCGCAGGGCTTCTTGTCCTATCATATTGGGGCCTGTTGGGGCCTGCAAACTCCAAATTGATGAGTGGCAGGTCGCCGAAACAGTTTCTGGTTCTCTTGAGGCTTTCGTGACACCTCGTCGCAAAGCCAACAGCACAGAAACACCAAAGAACGACTGCTGGTACATAACGATTCGCAACATTGGTACCATTTTGTACCCGTCCTTCATGGCCGGACTCGCATCTCGCAAGCATGCCAGGCACACCAAGCACCAGCTTCCGCGGCGATGTCTTGAAATCCCTCGAGAAGCTTGTGCCTAGAGGGCACAAGCCGATCCTCTGACAATGCAGTTGGCCGTCAACTTCCGAAAGCCTGCGGCATGCCACAACCCCCACACCCCGAAGACACCCTAGGCCCTTCGTAGGTGGGTTCTTTTGAACTAGTTCTTGCCAAACTGCTTCCTACATATCTCCGTGTGGCAGTGGAAGGGTAGCTGCCAATGCCGAGTCCGCGGCTGGCCAGGCAGTTTAAACGTGGATGCAAACTGCCGGAAGTTCTTGCGGTCGGCCTCGGCCTCGATGGCTGCGGGGTTACCGCTTGGCTCACGGCTTGGTCCCTTTTTGCCGTGGCGACTGCGCCTGCAATGGATGTGCCAGCATGTGCAAGCATGTGCAAGCTGTGCAGGCTGGAGGGCATCCAGTTCGATGTGCGGCCGAACTGCGGGCTGAGGCAAGCAAATCTCGAATCCTGTCCTTTGCTTTCATTGCACGGCCTTGTCGGTACGATTCTTTCTCCTATCCAAGTCTGTAGCGGTCGTCACAAGGCAGCAAGGAGTTTAAGCAAGCACGGCTCCGACTGAATTGCCCAAACCACGCGGGCAACATAAGTTTCTGGCAGGATTCCCGCGGTGCGTAAAGCTGCGCACGAACTGGCGAACCCCGTACAGCTCCTGAGTACGAGTGGCACTCGAGCTTGGATCATCCAATCCACACTTGCTCAAAGTCTTACTTCGGATATCCCTCGCTGTAGCCTCCGGGGCGGCAGTTCCACGTTCAACGAGGCGTCGAAGAATTTGCTCAGAGTCGGCCTGCGCAGCCTTCGCAGGAGAACATGTCACCCAAACGCAGCGAAGTAGACGCACAACCGACGCAATGCAAGCGTTTTCCTAGGCACACTTCATCCATCTTCTCAGCTACTTCACTTGGAAGCTGCGGGATGACCTGAGACATCGGCACATTGATCGACGGCCGCGAACCCGAGATGTGCTTCAATCGCTCAGCCCGAAGCTACAGAAACGCGGCTGTCGTGCTGTAGCCAAGTCTGCAGCGCTGCCAACAATTCCTGCTGAAACCTGACCAATGCTCTGCGAACGGTCAGGAAAAGTCTGAAAACAAGTGCATGCTCCCGGTGCCACGGCTTTGTTTAGGACGGCTTGGGGGCGGACCTGTCATTCATGATGCACAAGCTTATGTCCTGCAAGCAGGATTATTGCAATTTGTAATAGTGACATCACCAAAGTCAGCTTGCACTGCCGGAGCTCTTCTTTTGATTTCGACTGCAGGTGAGCAATTTCTGAGAACTGCACAGGATGCATGAAAATGAATAGTGTCCTAGTGTCTTCGGTTGCATCATGGTCACCCGACATGCCATCACACATGCAAAGCTTTGCCACAACAACCCTCACATGCGCTCTTAATAGCTTGGCCGAGGGAATGACGCTGTTGTCCATTCCGAAGGGGTTGCAAATCTCAACGGCCACGTCTTCCTCGCGCATGACGCATCTAAACACTCTGAACACCCGGCATAGCAAGCAATTATTCCCAAAACAGGTTGGACCTATGCCGACTCCCTCTCAACAAATACCTTCAACTCAGGGAGACACTCTACTATACACTATTTCGCACTACGGGTGCTTTTTGGACCACAGCCGCATATGCAGAGGTCTGAGTTTTCCGGCTGTGCACCTCGGGATACCTCGGGCCTTGGAACTTCCGGCAGCGGCGGCAAGGTTTGAAGCCCTGAAAGGCTTTGAGGCGATAGTCTGAATGAAGGCCTGATGGAGCGCATTGCCATGACAGGACAGCGTTACTCAGCAGCATGTATCGTGTCAGCAACCAGCCACCAGTCCGTCGAATGCTTGGCTTCTACGATTCTACGACGGTCCAGTTTGTACACCGCGTAGCCGATGGAGGCGCCTGCCGGATGTGGTGCACTACATATACTGCCTGGAGGCCTGGATCATCTGCAGGTCGCCAAAGCAGGTAAGACTGTCTGCAATGAGAAGAGCTACTCAGCTACTCCCTGGGCACAACTGCAATTATAGCTAGCTGGAAGATGCTTGGTTTCCGCCTAGCAGCGGCGTTGCCCAAAGCAATGTCGGGGTCTCAGCTGACTGCGCATAGTTTCAGAGCGGCACATTTCATTGTGTGCAACAGCATGCAAACAATAAGCTGGCGACTAATGCGACCGGCAATATCGCGAGCCACAGCTGCATCAAGAGCGCATTGTGCTTCCTTGTCTCTGGATGGTGTGGTCCCCGAAAGACCAACAGGGCACGAAGGTAAGTGTATCGTACCGTAAGTAAGCCAAAACTCTGAAAAGGTGAACGTACGCTGCACCGACCGTAAAGGCAAGTTCAGTTCTACGAGTACTTGATTCTGAAAAGGTTACTAAAATTACTAAAGGCTCGCTCTACCAATGACTGGCAGCATGTACCACGGATACTCAAACTACCACAGGACGTCAACCAGGACCAACACAGAAACTATTCCCAAATATGTGCACCCCGGGCTCCAAACCCTATAAGGTTCATGGACATCTGGACTTGAACACACACACTTACACACCAACACAGCATTCATCCCAACCACCCTCTTCCTCTTCGCCGGCTACCACTGCCACCGCCACTGCCCACACCTGTCGCCGCCAAACCCAATAATCGAATCAAGTGTCTGGTATCCCCACGGCTCTGGCGTGCTGCGGAGCGTTTCCATGTCTCGGCTGCTGCATGCAGGCATGTCTGATGCACCGCCAAGCCAGGAAGATGGACGATAATCTGCCAAGGCTTCCAAAACAAATGTGCGCCCAAACATGCGATGCCAAATGGGTATCTGCCCGGCATTATTTCAACTCCTGCCTTCAGCGAGCGTATGCCACCCGTGGTGTCCCCGCGGATTCCACCCTAGCTTACCGGCTTACCGCTCTCCTACTGCCGGCCTTCCATGATTTGGGCCAACTTGTTCACGTGGTTCTGGACCGCTACAACCTTGGACAGATGCTTCTGAAAGCCTCTAGTTACTCAGTTGTAAGAGTCAGCAGAGTCAGCGCAGTGCGTTGAGCTCTTTGCAACGACCGAATCGGCCCTCTAGATCTGGGTATGTTAGGCATTATGTTAGGGTTACCTCCTCCCGTCAAATCGGCACGATAATTGAAGCATCGCAGCTGGAGTCAAAAGAGCGATGCCAGGATACCAAGCCAAACTCAAGTTGAAAGCTAGATGTAGCTACAAGAGTGCTAGAAGTGTGGGTGTGTGTGTGTGAGGACAAAAGCATGTTTCGAAGTGACACAAATGAAGCCCATGGTACGACGGCTGTGTCATTTCAAATCATGATGCAAACCACTGTGTTGCGTGTACTTCGATTGACAGGTTCCGCCATGGTCCGCGCGGGGGTCCGTGGGAGGCAGGCTCTGGGAAATCTTCAAGTCTTGCTGCGAGTGTCCGAAAGGTATGTTATACAGTTGTACAGTCAATGGAATTCAGCATGGTTTGGACGGTCTGGACATACTCGGGCACATCTGGCAGTGGATGCAGAACATCACTTGACACGGTGCGCATCAACTGGGTCAGCTGGCCAAGCGCACGTTTTTCGTGTGGCCGGCATCATACCTGGAATCCATCGTCTCCCATGTGGCAGGAAGCCTCGTCATGTCCATCACATGTAACGTCTGGGTGCCCTGCGCATCTGCAAGCCGCGAGGTCAGCCGCTGGGTCAAAAAATACGGTCTGTGTGGAGCTGCCAAGAGATCCTGGTGCCACGCACTGCGCCTTGCAGTCTGCTTGCAGCTCTTGCATCAAGGCAACCCGGGCCTCAAGGATGGGCTTTGGAAGCAAGTAAACGAAGGCTTCGACATAGCGTTCGGGAGGCTCCTCTTGTTGCATCTCACGTCTAGAGTCCAGCTCGGTTCTGCATGCGCTCTGCTCCAAGCAAGGGCATTCCGGCACTTCACTTCCACTGTTCAGGTCAACTCTGCCATCATCACATTCCCTTCACCAACCCGAGCTCTCCAGCCGCACATGGAACTCAGCGGATCGAACGAAGGCATAGCCCTCGATGAGAGGATGGAGAAGCCGGAAAATCGCTCCAAACGGTTTGCCACACTTTCACAGCCATGCCACTAGCAGACTGAGCTCCATCGCAGATGCCTGCGCTCAAAACGAAACAGAGAATGATAAATAATGAAGCAAGCCATGCGGCAAACTCGGAAAAGAAACTCCAAATGCGCCGGCCTTGTCATTGCAGCAGAGCTGTGCCTCTTGGCCGAGGGAACGCGCGCTGCTGAGCAAATTGGCACCTTCCAATCTGTTGTATGCACATCCTTGCAATCAAAACCCCACGGCATGCCCAAGGCTCCAACAAGACGGTGTCAGCCGTGCAATTACACACATGCCAGAGGGCACACATCTCCCGTCCGTGCCACCATCTTGTTGCCGCTCTGTTCATACCTACGGGCAATGATCTCGAAAGTGGCGCGCTTCGACCACTGTGGTGTCATAACTATAACTGCGCCAGTAAACGTGAGTAACTCAGGGCACGGAAGGACAATGTCATGAAAAGCGCCTGCGGCCGCTGCTCTGCGAGAAAGGAAAAAGCTGTCATACCCCATCAGCACTTTAGAAGTGCGAGTAGCGTTTCGCAGTCGACTTAACAGCCACACGGCAAAAAGCTCATGATCCGAGCCACTAAATTAGACAGTTTCGAGGCTGAAGAACTGGTGTCGCAGTGCACCGGTGCAGTGAGTTCGCAAGACACGGACCCGGTATGACCGCGTGTGCAGTGCATTGTAGTGCAGAGGAGCAGACTGCTGACTGTAAGGCTCCCGCAGTTGCCAAAAATCCAGTGCAAGTTTGCATCACATCGTGGCCTGCATGCAGCTGCATGCCACATCACACCGCAAGATCACAAGCTCTTACAGAAAACTTCCTATGTGCTTGAGTGCGCGTCAGCAAGATTCAGACGAGGGTGAGCATGGCTAGGGCTGGGCAGCAGGCTTTCCATGATGTACCGTGCCTCGTTGTATTGGCCACAAGCGTTAAGGTGCATGACATCTTCTGGCCACTGTGTGCAGCTGAGACCACGGCCATGTGTGCCACCTGGCAGATCGACGGTTAGATTCTGGTTAGATTTCATGTCACGGCTAGACGGCTAGACCACAACCATGGCTACGAGAGCACTGCAATTCAGCAGTCACAGGATCAGGAAGATGGCGGAAGCTAACCACTCCCCATCCCATCACTGCCTCTTCCACGAACCACGGCTGGCCACTAGCTGCGTAGTGCCTGCACACATGTAGCGACTGTGTTGCATCTCCAGAGACTGGGCTGACGCTGAGCGCAACCGTTAAGGTCCGAAGCTTGTGATTGTTCTAAGTCGGTCTTTGAGTGTTTTTCTTGAGACTTGTAGGCGGCCGACACGAAATTCAAATGCATTCTAATCAACATACCTCGCAACTACCGCGCACGCGCAAGCTTCCATCTGTGGCATGACCGTATGCTGCGAAGCGATAATACCTGACATTGAACTAAAGGATCGTAGAATATCGGAGATGTCCACGCTTCGTTTAACATCCTGCTGGCATCATTTTAGTGCGCTGCCTTCAGCGGGCCTGCAGTGCATGAAGCTGGCGGTGACAGAAGAACAGTACAGCAGGTACAAAGAAGTTGCCTGCGCGCCAGTCTTTGTTGAGACTTGTGTCCAGGTGTGCATGAACTCTACCAGCGTCCCCATGCTGACGAAAACACACCTCATCTTGCAAGGTGACTCGGTTCCAACATCAAATCGAGGCATCTTGAAGGCGGGCCTTCAGGGGCTGCTTTCG